GAAAAAAAAAAAAAAAAAAAAAAAAAAAAAAAAAAAAAAAAATTCATCATTTTCATTGTTGTGTAGGAATTGTGGTTTTAATTTTTATGCCTTTGATTTTAAAACCTTGAAGCTGAATGTTAGTTGTCTAAAAGTGCTTTATTATGAATAGGTCACTTTGGTCTAATGAATATTAATCTGAAACTTGGAAGGTAGCCTATCACCTTGCTTAACTTTTCCCTTCAGCACAGTAGGCTTGATAATTCTTAAGTTCCTAAACCAAAACAGACCATGGATCAATAACTAAGGAAGGCCACTTGTCTTCCATTTATTGGGAAGAAATAGAATATTTCTGTGGAAACTTCTTAGTGTTTTCAAAGCAAACTTTAGCTTTTACCCTGTTTTAATGAAAATACAGCTAATAATGGTGTCTTCTTTTCTTTCCTTGTTTAATAAGACATTTGCAAGTTTTTCTTAAGCCTGCCATATTGAGATAAAATGATGTTAAATTTCTACTGATTTATACAGGAAAACAATGAAGAATCGCTATATGGAACTTTATGACCTTAATAAAGACTTGCTAAATGGATATAAAATTCGCTGTAACAATCACACAGAGCTATTGGGAAATCTCAAAGCAGTAAATCAAGCAATTCAAAGAGCAGGTCGTCTGCGTGGTAAGTTTCTTTTTGTAGCACCATAATTTGTAATTTTTTGGGTGAGAATCATTGAGATGGTGGTAGCATTCAATAATTCCTACTGGGGCTTTAACATACCTTTAACACTCCAGAGTTGGCACCAGTCACTTGAATTTTGTTAGTCTCCAAAGTTTAAAGAGAAAAAAACCTTTCAGCTCCTTTTCTTAGATCTTGCTGCATCTTCCAAAGAATACTATATATATCCAAAGGGATAGCCTTGAAGCCCCCATTAGAAAAAAAGAGACTGAAAAGTAATGAGTTGTGTCCAACTTTAAAATTGAGAAAAAGAACAATAGGATAAACCAAAGGAAGCAGAAATATAACCAGAGATTTATACCTGAATTCTGCTGTTTTGGGTCAATGCTTTTGACCTCTTTAGAAATATTCTTTGCTAAGTAGATATGATCTTTGATCCTTTTCTATAAAATGACTTTTGGTTTCTAGGTTTGATAGGGTCTGTGTGTTTGTTTTGTGATACATTCCCTCTCCAATTACCTTTTTTAGGTAGTGGTAGGTAAGATTAATTAGTTAGATTTTCATATATAACTCTTTTCTACTCTTAGTTTTATAGTTTTATGTTGTTTTAAAACTGGCTTGTAATTTATAAATTCACTTTTAATAACCTTTTGAGTCATACTGACTTGATGTTTCTTCTCATATAGTTGGAAAACCAAAGAACCAGGTGATTACTGCTTGTCGGGATGCAATTCGAAGCAACAACATCAACACACTGTTCAGAGTCATGCGGGTAGGGACAGCTTCTTCATAGGAGAGGAAAGAATAGGTAAAGAAGTTTCTGGAAAAGGTTTTTCCTTAAAAATCTAGGCTGATTTGCCTTGGATCACATCCTGGTGAACCCAGGGTACTAAGAGTGAAAACAACCGTGGTGAGTTGTACAAATTAAAAATAAAGAATTACATTGGAAAGATATATTCTATTTTTAGATCAATAGCACTGTTGCTGCATAATAGGTTTGTATGTCAGAGGGTGAATACTTTTGAAATGTTAGGGCTTCAAAGTCTAAGTTTTGTTTATTATGTAAGTTGGTATATAAATACATCTTTTTTTCTTCAAATTGTAATTGAATTTGTAATTTTCAAATAGGTTATATACTTTTTCATTAAAATTTAAAAGTGTTGAACTTTGTGTTGACTGATTATAAAAGCACCACCATATTAGAATTGCATAAACCATTTGTATTTTGTGGAGAAAAACCAAAATGTGGATATTCGATTTGTGTGCCTCTTTTTAATCACCAAAAAGTGGGTGTAAAGAACAAATTTAGAAGAAGGAAGAGTCAGTTTAGGATGATCTTTTAATTGAGGCAATGTTAGCTTCTGTAACAAATAGACCTTAAAATACATAATGACTCATTTATCATTTATGTAAAGACTTCTCCATAGTTATTCAGGGACCCAGGTTTGTTTAATTATGTACCTCTGTTATCCCCTAGGGCAGCCTTTCTCAACCTGAGTTCACTAAAGAAATAAGCTTAAGGAAAATGATTTGGGTGACTCTTTTCACATTCATTGTTTTTTTTTTTTACTAATTGAACGTTTGTGGCAACCCTGTGTGGAGTAATGCTATCAGTACCTTTTTACCACCATGTGCTCATTTTGTATCTCTGTGTTACATTTTTGTGATTTGTGCAATATTTCAAACTTTGTCATTATTATTATATATTATTGTTATTATTATATCTTATGGTCTTTGATCGGTGATCTTTGATGTTACTATTGTAATTGTTTTGGGGTGCCAAGAACCATGCCCATATGACAGTGAACTCAACAGTAAATGTTGTGTATGTTCAGACTGCTGTTCCCTTGTCTCTCTCTTTCTTCTTGGGCTTCCCTATTCCCTGAGACACAACAATATTGAAATTATACCAGTTATTAACCCTACAATGGCCTCTAAGTGTTCAAGTGAAAGTAAGATTAAGCTTAATGAGGAAGGCATGCCAAAAGCTGAGACAGGTTGAAAGGTAGGCCTCTTGCACCAGTTAGCCAAATTGTAAATGCAAAGGAAAAGTTTTTCAAGGAAATTAAAAGTGCTACTCCAGTGAAAACATGAATGATAAGAAAGTGAAACAGCGTTATTGCTGATATGAAGAAAGTTTTAGTTGGTCTGGGTAGAAGATCAAACCAGCTACAACATTTCCTTAAGCCAAAGCCTAATCCAGAGCAAGGTCCTCACTCTCTTCAATTCTAAGAAGCCTAAGAAGGCTGAGAGAGGTGAGGAATCTGCAGAAGGAAAGTTTGAAGCTAGCAGAGGTTGGTTGATGAGGATTAAGGAAAGAAGCCATGTTCATAACATTAAAGTGCAAGGTGAGGCAGCAGATGCTGATGCAGAAGCTGCAGCAAGTTGTTCAGAAGATCTAGCTAAGATCATTTATAAAGGTGGCTATGCTACACAATAGATTTTCAATGTAGACAAAACAGGCTTATATTGGAAGGTGCTACCTAGGGCTTTCATAGCTAGAGAGGAGAGGCCAGTGCTTGACTTCAGAGCTTCAAAGGACAAGCTGACTCTTTTGTTAGGGGTTAATGCATCTGGTGACTTTCAGTTAAAGCCAGTGTTCATTTACCATTCTAAAAATCCTAGGACCCTTAAGAATTATGATAAATCTACTCTGCCTGTGCTCTATAAATGGAACAACAAAGCCTGATGACAGCACATCAGTTGACAACATGGTTTACCCCCACTATTGAGACCTACTGCTTAGAAAAAAAAGATTATTTTCAAAATATCACTGCTTATCAACAATGCACCTAATCACCCAAGAACTCTGATGAAGATGTACAAGGAGATTAATGTTTTCATGCCTGCTAACAGTTTCCTTCTGCAGCCCCTGGATCAAGGAGTAATTTTGACTTTCAAGACTTAGCCTTATAAGGCTATATCTACTGTAGATAGTGATTCTTCTGGTGGATCTGGGGAAAGTCAATTGAAAACCTTCTGGAAAGGACTCATTATTCTAGATACCATTAAGAACATTTATGGGAAGAGGTCAAAATATCAGCATTAATAGGAGTTTGGAAGAAGTTGATTCCGACTCTTATGGATGACTTTGAGGGGATCAGGACTTCAGTGGAGGAAGCAACTGCAGATGTGATAGAAATAGCAAGAGAACTAGAAGTGGAGTCTGAAGGTGTGATTTAATTGCTGCAATCTCCTGATAAAATTTTAATGGATGAAGAGTTGCTTCTTATGGGTGAGCAAAGAAAATGGTTTCTTGAGATGGAATCTACTCCTGATTAAGATGCTGTGAATATTGTTAAAATGAAAACAAAGGATTTAGAAGATTACATAAATTTAGTTGATAAAGCAGCAGCAGGATTTGAGAGGGTGGGCTCCAATTTTGAAAGATGTTCTACAGTGGGTAAAATGCTATCAAACAACATCAAATGCTAGAGAAATCTTGTGAAAGGAGGAGTCAACTGATGGGGCAGACTTCATTATCATCATTTAAGAAATGGCCACAGCCACCCCAATCTTCAGCAACCACCACCCTGATCAGTCAGCAGCCATCAAAATCAAAGCAAGACCCTCCATCAGCAAAAAGATTACAACTAGCTGAAGGCTCAGGTGATTGTTAGCATAGTATTTTTTAATTGTTATGTGCATTGGTTTTTTAGACATAATGCTATTGCACACTTAATAGACTACAGTATAGTGTTAATAAACATAACTTTTATATGCACAGGAACAGCAAAAAATTTGTGTGACTCACTTTATTGTGATATTTGCTTCATTGCAATATTTGCTTTACTGTTATTGTCTGGAACTAAACCTGCAGTATGTCCGAGGTATTCCTGTAAGTCATGGCCTTCTCTGCTACTCCAAACTTCCCAAGTAAGTAAAGACTGGGTGAAATGAAGACATTCAGCTTAGGGGTGAGAAAGAATATTTGGACATTGAGAAATGATTTTATCAGTTACATCTCTATTTTGTTGCCATGTTTTTCTATCCTGATAGAATCTGAGTGCTTCTAGAAGCTATAGCTGATCTTTGTTTTGTTGCTGAATTAAAATGAAGATTTAAGTGAATACCGAGCTTTCATTTAAAGGCCGATTTTGAGAATTCTGGTATCTATCTGGGAGAAAGCTTTTTAGTCATTTTCCCAGCATCTGCTTCAAAAAATCACCCTCATCCCCGAATTCAGGTACTCGATATTTTTAGAGGAGAGTTTGGTTTTTATTATTTCTTGCCATGTCTGCCTATCCAGTATATCAAGGCTCAGCTCAAATGCTGTCCTCAGATTTTTCCTTTCCCATGTCTGTTCCTTAACCCTTACTACATTCTGTGTTTATATAAATCTTAATACCCTATTAAGTGAGAACAGGGTCTACATCTTAATCAGCTTCATCCTCACCACAGAGCTGAGCCAATGTCTTGAGCATAGAAAAGCATCTGCTGCTTTCCATGGGACTGTCTGTCCTCAATAAGCCTGTCAGTAGCTTCAGAAATCAAAGGACTAGGAAATTTATAACTATTATGCAACCTTAGAAGTGTGTTACAGGAATGATTTTCAACATTGTTATTAATGTTTCAGATTTCATAGTTGGCAGAGTCCTGTGATCACAGAACTAAATTATCTCCAATTTCACTTTGGAATTAAAGTACAGTAAGACACCCATTATAGTCTGGTGTTTTGCATTTTGCCTCTTTCCCATCTGGCTTCTGCCCACACTCTGTGCTCTTGCTCCTGAGTCATCTTTTTATTTTTATGGTACAGAACCCTACTTTTTCTAAAAATGAGGCCACACGGATGGTTCCCAAATAGTTTTTAAATTGTCGATGTGGACTAATTTTGCATGTGAGAGCAGGAGCCATGTTTTTCTAGGGCTGTTCATTTCCGTGAAGGCTGGAGAGCCTCCCTCTAGCATCACTTCACTAGATTGTCTCTAGTAAACGTTTGTATTTTCTCACTGTTTTAATAGTGGTAACTATATAATGGTGTTGAGGAGACACTGCAGCCAAAAACTTGTTTTCTTGTTGAAGAAGTACTGTTCTAAAAAAGGTAGCCTAAGCTTTGATGTTTTTTGGTATTCTGTGGGGAAGAAACAACTACATTCAGTGGAGTTTGAGAGGCATTCTATGAACAGTATACTGGAGAGATGAAACCATCATGTATGTCAAGCTTGGAAAATAGTTTGAGAGTCATGACTGTAGTATGATCTAAGGCCACCCAACTTTTCCAACTCTGAAGAGCTAAGTCTGAATCTTAGCATATTACCCAAGTGTTAAATGTTCTTATTCGTTTCTCCTTTATCTCAGTGTTTTCATGGTCTGTCAACAGGAAAATTTTCTCTGCACTACCAAAAGGGATTTGGGTGTCTGAAGGGAGAGAATTCCTATGAGCCCAGCTCTGATGTTGCTGTCAAGTTACATCACCTGTAGCAGCATCTCTTAGACTATGAAGGATGGTGTAACTTGCAAGTGGTTAAAAAGTAGTGATCTCCAATACGGTATGCATGTAAAATGGTCCATTATTATGTGGGTGTGGGAAGACAAATCCTAACAGCATTTTTCTCTTCTAGTTTTCATTTTCCACATCCTTAAAATTAGAGTGATGGATGTTAGATTACTTATAGTGTGCTTCCTTAAACATTTAATTTTTCATCCTGTTGAATTAAGTGTGCATATGCTCACAAAAGAGCTTTATAAAAATGTTCCTAATTTCCATTATGGTTAATGTATAGATGGGACCTTACATAATTGTGGCAAGTGGTAAAGTAGTCTCTGTAAGGGTGTTCTCTTCCCAGTGATACTGGAGCTTGAAGACCATAGGGCAGGTAGTGAGAAAAGATGTAAAGTTGGGGAGAACAAGTTGGAACCCATGAGCTGGAGCCCGTGAGGACATATTGAAATCTGTGTCAGTTCTTGTTGCCTTGATGCTGTGCGCGTCCTGCAGACACTGAGACCCTTCATCAGAGAAGCTGAAGGAAGATCCAGGGGAAGTTGGAACTGTTGCAGGCCCAGGTCAGAATGCTGGTTCATGCCAAGGAGGTGAGCCAGTGGATACGTGACGATGTGTGTGGGCTACTCAATGGCTGATGCTTCATTTCAGCCCTCAAATCTTACACAAGAATTTGTGGCTTTACCCAAACCGGAAATGGGGAGGGAATTCTGGGAATTGCAGTACTGTTTACCCAAGTTGACACATTACAAAGCAACCAATGGTTTCACAGGAGGATGGGATTTCAGGTGACCTTTATATTTCTACGTGTTTTAGTTCCTCAGAATGAACATGTATTATTTATAAAATCTGAAAAAATATAAAGCTATTCTTTTTTTTGGGGGGGGAATATTCCTTTTCTAAAAGGAGTTAGAAGAATTGGAGGTCCACTATTAAGAATTGAGAAAGATGCTATGTATCATACAGGTAAACATCATAGCTTTTATCTGAAAGAGGTATAAAAAACATGCCCATGTTTTAATTCTTTTTGTGCCACTTAACAGTTGTCAACATTGGCCCCAGGCCCTAAAAATTAATCAAGGTGAAGAATGAAGTATTAAGTAAAATCAGCTTCTCGATCGGTGTATTTTCAGTGTAGAAAAGCAACTTGCAAGTTACACCATCTTTCATAGTCTAAGAAATACTGCTACAGATGATGTAACTTGACAGCAACATCGGAGTTGGGCTCTTAGGAATTCTCTCCCCTCAGACAATCCCTTTCTGTAGTGTATAGAAGGTTTTGTTGTGTGGAGAGACCATGAACACACTGAGATAAAAAAGAAACTAATAAGCACATTTTAACACTTGTGTAATATGCTGGTATTAATTTTATATCAATATGTAAGATTTAGATTTAAC